GATACTGTGAATGATAGTGGGTGGAAGCCGGTGATTTTCTCCTGTAATGATCTTAGGATGGAGCGAGTTATGGACTTGCTTATGATTTTGACCCTTCCCTGGAGCCCTCAATAGGGTCAAGATCTCATACTTCTTCGTAACGCAGTTGGGCTCACCACTTGCCCATTTGCCTCTGTCCAAACGTGAGACAACTTCGAAAGGCCACTTCCGAACCTTCCGAAAGTCGGTGGACTTGGCCTTTTGACACTGTAGCAACTACGACCTTGACCTTTCAGGACTGTAGCAGCTACGACCTTGGCCCTTCAGAACTACTACAGCTATGGCCTCTGCTACAAACTTGACCCCTACTTGACAGGTCTACAGATCGAACCCCTACAACCTACGGACCTACGACAACCTACCAACTGTTGCGAATACATAGGTTACGGGTTCAACTCTCGGTGTCGACACTGGTACCATACACAGGTAAGGTAAGAACTAGGGATCGAGCCCTGTGATCTGCATTCGCTACTGCTAACAGTTGAATACCATTTCACTCCCGCCGGCCTAAATTCGAGGTCCTCCGAGAATAATTCAGTCCAATACCGGATTTTTACCTTTCCTTTCTCTCTCATAGGCTCTAACCACGTCGGGAGCTGTTTCTAGAAGTTCAGTTCTAGTAAACCAGTGGTCGTCCTCGGGTTCCTGATAAGCAAATCGGACCTTATACTGTTTCTGTGGACGACCTCTACCTCCTGTTCTAAATACGTCTTCACCTACAATGCCCTCAATGTCATATCTTCCATCCATGTCCGAAGGGATCATGGATCTTCTTGACGGAAACTGTGGACTTGTGACACACGACAACAACTTGGATGCATGGAACACAGGGTAGGTGTGGAGGTGTGTTGGGATCTCTATTGTATAGGACGACCCATCCTCTCTGCCCTTAACCTCTAGAACTGGCCACGGTCCTGTACGCCGGCAGTAACTTCCGCGAAATGTTTTCCTCAGGAGCAAACTCTTTGGACTTGACTCTAACTAGGTCGCCTACTTGAAACTGCGACGGGCGATGGTGCTTGTTAGCCTGCTCTATCATTCGGTGTTGGGCCTTCCTGAGGTGCTCAACAACGGTAGCTAACTCCTTCTCGTGTTGTATCGCAAACTCCCTAGTACCGGGCGGTAGCCTATGAATCTGGTTCCGATTAAGTCCTTCAAACCGTCAGCGTGGTCTAAAGGACTTATGCAGCTCATTGGGAGTACGACAAGTGGCTAGGTGCACGCTGTTATTATACGCACTGGATACCGTGGGCAACATCTCGTCCCAGTTGACTTGATCTAGTCTAATGTACATACGCAAAACTGGCTGCAGGATCTTATTCATCTGCTCGGTCTGACCGTTAGTCTCTGGTGACGACCAGTTGACATTAACAACTTTGACCCGTATACTCTCATTAACTCCTGACAATTCTGACTTGTAAGTTGGGTGTCTCTATTGCTGACTATGGACAATGGGATCCCGTGATCACTAACCCAAAAGTCAAAGAACTTCTGAATGACTAACTCTGTACGGGTTTCTGCGGGTAAGGGAACAAAAACAACATATTTGCTAAATCTATCCACTATTACCATGACTTGGCTCTTTCCATGCCTACTTTTGACGCTAGCATCCATGAAATCAATGGATACAAAATCACCAGGCTGATCAGGTATAGGAAAGGGTCGAAGAAGACCTAGAGGGGCACTCGTAGTTGTCTTATTCCTTTGACAGACTTTGCAACTGCGAACGTACTCTATGCAGTCGGCTTTCATTCCTGGCCAAGTATACGCATGCATCAAATGGCTAGAGTCTTTTGCCAACTGAAATGTCCCTCTGTGTCGTGGCATTCCCCTAGGATCAAACTACAGATCTCCTCACTATTAGGAACGCACAGACGGTCTACTACGTTGGTCTTCTCAAACAGTAATCCCTCTGTAGTGTGGTAATCTGGTTCAGTCTCCGGGGCCTCCTTAACTTTCTTGAGGAGGTCACAATAAATAGGGTCCTACGTATACGCCTGTCTTACTTTCTCTTGTAGGTCTCTCCCTATATCCAGATAGTGAACTATGGCTCCAAAGTAATCTGATCTCCTACTTAGAGCATCCGCAACTATGTTATACTTGCCCTTGACTGGTTTGAGCTCAAAGTCATACTGGTCTATCTCAGCAGCCCACCTAGTTAGCTTAGGTGTCATCTTGGGCTGCGTTTTCAGCCATCTAAGTGTCTCGTGGTCTGAATAAACTTTGAAGTGCCACCCAAGCAGATAATTCTTCCAGTGTTCTAAGGCCTGCCTGAGAGCGTAGAGTTCCCTCTCGTAAGTCGAGGTAGCTACTTTCTCTGAAGGCATCCTCGCAGACATAAACTCTACGGGTCTATAGCCATTGCCGTCATCCTGCTGCAACATGGCGCCTATCCCATACCGACTTGCGTCCGTGGTGATGACAAATGGCAAGGACTGATCTGCCACCTTGAGGACAAGGTACTCTATCAACGCTCGCTTTAACATTTTAAGAGCGGTTGTACAATCTTTGTCCCACTTCTAGATTGCATCCTTCTTGAGCAACCTGCGAAGGGAGCGGCGATGGTGGAAAAGTTCCTCAATAACTTCCTATAATAATTGGCCAGGCCTAAGAACGACCGCAATCTCTAATCGCCGCTATCTTGCTATCCTCAAGCTTAATGCCATCTCCATCTAAGACGTGGCCCACGTACAAAACTTGTGTCTTGGCCCACTCGCACTTCTTCGTGTTGATCTTGAAGTTAGTCTCTCTCAACTTCTCCAAGACCTGCCTCAAATGACCCTGATGCTCTTGGAGGGTCTTACTGAAAACCAATATATCGTCTAAGTAGACTACGATGAATCTATCTAACCAAGGCCTAAACACATCATTCATACAGTGCTGGAATGTGGCTGGCGCATTGGTCAGTCCAAAGGGCATCACTATGAACTCATAATGCCCATATCTAGTCCGGAAGGCAGTCTTATACTGATCATCAGGATGAACCTCTATCTGATGATATCCGGACTTCAGATCTATCTTTGAGAAATGCTTGCAGCCTTGCACTCAATCTAAGAGATCGTCTATCCTGGGCAGTGGCTCGATATTCTTCACTGTGATAGCATTCAAACCCCTATAGTCGATACACATACGTAACTCTCCCTCCTTTTTGGGGACAAACAAAACGGGTGCTCCGAAATGAGACGAACTGGGCCTAATCCAACCCTTTTCGAGGAGTTCGTTTAACTGCTTACGCAATTCCTCTAACTCCCTTGGGGACATTTTGTAAATCGCACCCTTATGACTTCTACTGCCAGGCTTTATCTCTATACGGTGTTTGATCGGCTGCGGCACTACTCCTGTCGGCGGCTCTGCTAAGTCTTTAAACTCTTCCAGCAGCGTGGCAATAGTTGGGTCCATTGGCTTATCCTCTTTAGGCTCAGTGACAAGCCTCACGTAGGCTACAAAGACCTTCTCTTCTAACTGCTCCTTCTTCACTAATCGCACGAACGCGGGAGCACTGAGACAACAATGTGCCAAGGAGTTATCTACCCCTGACACATGGAACAAACAGGCAGTCTTGACCTCGCCTGATGGACTAGGGAGCCTACACTCATGCTCTCTTAAGTGGAGTGTGGCCCCTTCTGCCTCTCCCTAGTCCATACCTAGGACTATATCAAAAGGGAGGTTGTCCTCTACGAGGAGAGTCATAGAGTGGAGAACTTCTCCACCTTGCCATCTTTCTCTAAGCGCAGATACGCCTGGACTCCCTCGACGTAATCCCCAACACGCATCGTGCGGTTGTCTGCGAGGATACTGACTATGGGGTCTTCCAACTTTTGGACTTTCAGACCTAGCCTCAACTTCTTTAGCACTTTCCTTCTGATATAACTACGGGTAGCCCCTGTGTCTATAAGAGCCCCTACTCTGCTTCTAAAAACTTCTAAATCTACTAATACCAGTTGTCCTTTGCTCTCCTTCTTCATCTTGGCCCATACCGACATCCTCTCTTTCAACTCTTCTGCCAGACCTGTGAGGGAAGTGCCTAGGGAGACTCTAACACAAGCGGTCTCTGGACAACTAACTAGGCACTGACCTGCAACCTCTACTATAGGCTCATGTGGTGTGGGAGTTTCCTGGTGGTGCGTGCACACTTCCCCACATGGCCTAATGGTAAGGGCAGTTGCGACCCCTACCGGCGGCTGCCTTTTGACCCATGGGCAATGGATCAGGCTTCCCTATACTTTGGACAATATTTAATGATATGGGCAAGGTCATCGCAGTAGATGCACTGCCCCTGCTCCATCCGTTGTTGCCATACTCTCTGGTCCAAACCCAGATCTTCCCAAGGCCGGCCTTGTGGCCAACTTGGGTGCCAACCTCCTCTCCTTTGAGGTGATCCTCCACCTCTGCCCTGAACGATTCGACGGGGGACCTTCACCCCTACCTCCCTCTTGGCAGTTCCTTTGGCCGCCACCTCGCTGTGCATCCGAACCTCGACCACCCATGACCCGGCCCCCTTGGCCCTGACCTCCTCTAGTTTGCGGCCTCCCTCCAGCCGCGACAGGAGCGTAGGTCCTCCCTTGACCTCTAATACTGTCCTCCTCCTCTAGCCCCCACTCTATCTGACTGTAGGGGACTTCATCTGTACCACCTTCGCCAAAAGTAAGGATCAGATGATCCTTGGCCCTGACCTGTCCAGAGATGGTACGACCTTTCCACTTCTTTCCCTTGTCTAAATCCTTATGCCAGAAAGTGGAAACTGGCATGGATTTGGCCTTAAACATGACCACCTCTCTACTCAGCGCGTCGTATGTGATGGTGGCCTGTTGGGTCTTCTCAAAGAAATGCCCTCGTAAGGGCTCTGGCATGGCACAATAGAATAAGTTAACTAATGGGTCTCAGTGACCCCGTGGTCTGGGATGGCTACCAAATCATCCATAAATGCCTTGAGTGCCCTTGCACTCTTCCACTGCCGTGAGTGGATCGTTTGCAGTTTATCTGAGGCTCTGACGCCTCACGTGACGTCAACAAATCTCTCTCCGAGGAGTTTGAGGAATTGGTGAAGAGGGGTGAGTTTGGAATACGCAACCATATTGTGTTCACAATCGGCTGCTCGAGCGAGGGACCTGGCAAAGCTGGCCGCTTCATCCTTTAAGGCATGGAAGGCTACGAGGACTTGCTCCTCAGGCGCAATGTGCTGGAGATACACGTACGTGTTAATGCTAGCCTCCCAATTATCGAAGTTCTCGTCCTTCTTCCCGCCATAAGAATCAGAGAACGTAAGCTTAATAGGTTCTTTGCGGGGACGCCCTTCGATCTCTGCAGCGGCCACTACTTTGGCGCCCTCGATGGTGCTTGCGCAAAGTTTCTCTGCGCCCTCCTTTAGCTTCCTAACTTCGGTCCCTGCATGGGTCATTACATCGCGCGCGAATTCCTTGAAACCGGACCGGATGGAGTGGAGGCCCATTTCCTGGCCCCTAACAGACTGATGGTGCTCAGTCCAGGCCCTACCTAGGAGCTCGATGCTCCCAAGGATCTTGTCTAACTTAGCCTGAATATCAGGCTGGGCTTCTACTTCCTGCCTACATGTCTGTAAGCTCTCCACTTCTCTAGCAATCCGGTTGGCTTCCTCTGTCCTCCTCTTCTTCTCCCTCGCCAGGCGTAACTTCCAATCCAACCTCTTCTCATTCTCTATTGCCTGGCGTTCTAAGGGATCACTCGTCGCCTCGATCTCCTTAATTGCTGCTTCCTTCTCCTCCTGAGGTATATATAACATTGCCTCTTCGTCTTCTCCCAGAGTCAAATTAGCCACCCACTCACTTATCTTCTTCTCCACCCACGGGTCATCTTCCTTCGTGCCACTGCTCTCTCCTCCTTCCCCCAATCTTCTTCTTCTGAGGGGCTCCTCTTCTGGCCGCTCCTCCTCTTCAATTTCTTCCTCTTCTGCAGCCCTCATTCTCTCCTCCTCTTCTTGCAGCAACCGTTTCATCTCCTCCTCTAGCTTCTTTTTCTTCGCCGCCTGCTCCTCTGCTATCACCTTCATCTTCGCCTGTCTAAGGAGCTCCTTCTTCTCTTTCCTGTCCCTCAGGATGGCAGCGGTTTGCTCTTCTTGAGCCTTACTGTAGGGCATGGTGCTCTTCCCACTGCGAATGTCAACCATGGTGATAGGCGCACAACCGTACAACAGTTTCACTCCTCACCACTTAGACTTCTACCCCCTAACCGACACAACCTAAGACTGACTCAATCTAAGAGGACCACAAAATCCTGATAGGACCCTGTCAGCTATGGTCTCTAGCCTGGACCTAAACTAAGGTTGTCACTACAGGACTTATTGCTGATCAAGAGGCATTTTAGGAGATCCCTCGTAACTCCTCAGGAATTATTTAACGTCGCAGACAGGACGACGCGATCAGCAAGTCCTCTCAAGACTTAGACAGCCTGTTGTGCAGCCCACAGCTCGGATTTTGGGCCTACCGTGCCACACTGAGCMCCCCGCCGGTCAGTACCGGTCCTTGGGAGGGTTCGTGTCCTCCGGGACAGTCGAGTCGTCAGACACGGCCTTTAGCCCTACTCAACCCATGTGGAATGGGCAACAAGGCTCTATCCTTCATACACGGAGTTCCTATCACCTAGACAGATGAGACTCAATGCAGAAAGAAGAGACCGACAGACTCAGCAAGTACCATAGGGTGAGTGCACATCCATAGGGCGAGGGGATAGGCTGAGGGCTTGGCGAGGATATACCAGCTCCAGCTTGGTCAAAATCGTGGTCAACCCTTCGGTCAACGCTCCAGTCAACCGTGGTCAACCTTCAACTTCGGTCAACCCCTTGGTCAACCTTCAACTCGGCTATGGCTGCCGCCTTCTTCTTCCTCACCACCCTTCTTCTTCTTCCTCCTTTCTTTCTCTCCTTCCTCGCCTGGTCCTTCTTTCACCCCGGCTATGTCTTCCTTTTTTTTTTTTTTTTTTTTTTTTTTTTTTTTTTTTTTTTTTTTTTTTTTTTTTTTTTTTCGTCGTCCCTCCTTCCTCTTCTTCAGCTATGGCGTCTTCTCACTTCTCAGTCTCTCCCTCCTCTCTCGTTCGTCTTCTTTCCTCCTTTTCTCGTCTTCCTTCTTCTCCTCCGTGTCTGAGCTCCGAGGCTATGGCCGCTTTCTTCTTCCTTGGACCGCACAACCAATCTTGTATCGCTCCTCTCTCTCTCTCTCTCTCTGTGTTATGAACTTGGTTGTCTGACAATTTTTTTTGCCACTCGCACACATAATATCTCACACATGCCCATACATGCACAAGACAAAGGGGAGGAGAGACAGAGTCTACACTGCACACAGACCAGAGATCAGTCGCGGAATAGCAACCATGCACAGATGGGGAGAATACACACAGTGTTTCTCTCTCTCTGACAAACTCCCAACAACCAATCACAAGATGACACTGCGAAGATCAAAATCGGAATACAACACAGCTGATGAGCCAACTCAACACAATTAACCCAATTATCGTTACAGAGTTTAACCCAGTGTCTCGCCACCTCAATATCACACACCACACCCACTATCCCACTCTCAGAGACAAGCGCTACACTGAAACAGCCTCCCTGAGGCCAGCGCCAACTACCAAGATGCAGATCATGAACTGCGATGTCGTCCTCAGTGTCGATGAGTCACTCTGACGAAGAAGAAGGCAGCTATGGCTGTCGAGCTGCTACAGAAGCCCTACGATGTTGGGCGCCAGCAACAGCATCCACCTGTACACTCTGAAGAGCCTCAGGTAGCTCTGCCGCACGCAGATACCCCCAGGGGTAGATGCGTTGAGAGTGCCCCAGCTCTGGCAGACTCTCAGGGGCCGGATATGGCTGTCACCACCAAGCTGAGATCTTGGGTACCGCTTGGATCTTCAACGCCGCGGAACTTGGTTGGCCACGAACCTTGCGATCCGAAAATGAAAAGCCAAAAGTCCCCAACCGATTTTCTTAAACTCCTTATAGACTTCCTACTCTGGCCTAGACCTAGACCGGACTGACTGACTGACCGGTACCGTTGCTGTTTCGGCCTCTCGGTCTCTACCGGACCCGGCTATAGGCTATAGGACCGTCTAGCAGAATAGGCCACTTAGGGCCTGTCTGTCCTAGGGGTAGCCCGGACCTGCTATAGGCAGTTAGGGTAGCTGTAGGAATTCGGGTTAGTACCGGGCCTATATTTTCCCGGAATTGCAGATCTGTCCCTCACGAATTTCCTCACAGGCAGGTCTCTCGGTTAGCCCTCAGCCAAACAAAATTACGAATCTAACCCTCTAGGTTAGTGTACAGCCTCGGAGTCAATCTCAGCAGCAGAAATCAGCAAGTCATTGTAGGCTTACCCTCCCCGGGAGCGAGGACCTCCGAGCTAGGGGTGCAGACGCGGTGAACGGCGAAGGTTACCCTTCTGAGCCACTTCATACCGCAGCACAATAGACTTTGCTGTCTTGAGAAGGTCCTTCCTATAATACCACTGACTCTCCGTCGGGGGTTGGAAGGCGAACTTCACAAGATACTGCCTGTCGGGGCCAGTGCCCCACTCATCCTCAATGGCCTCCACATCATATCCCTTACCAGGGATTGGTGGACTCCATTGAGGGGGCCGGTCAGGGAATGCATCAGCTGGAGTAAAGGGAAGCAGCTTAGATGCATGGAAGACCGGATAGGTACGTAGATGCAGGGGGACGTCAATGGTGTAGGACGGACCAAAGGGATTAGCCCCTTATGTATCTAACACCTGCCACGGACCCAGGTATCGTGGCAACAACTTAGGAGAAATATCCTCCTCCCTCAACAACTCTGAACTGGCCACCCAGACATAATCACCAGTGCGGATGGGGGAAGGTCTGCGATGGCGATTAGCTTGTTCAATCATAGCCTTTTGGCTTTGAACAAGTTCGCCCGAGCTCTTTCCACATCCAGACGATAGCGTCCGGTGAACTCCGTTGTGCCTGGGGTCAGGTCTGTCTTAGCCTTGTCGATGATATCATCGAGAGGCTGACGTGGCTCTCGTCCCCAATGTAGTCGATAGGGACTGAATCCAGTCGAGGAGTGGACATACATGTTATACACGAGCTGTGCAAGAGCGAGATGGAGGTCCTAGTCCTGTTGATCTGGTGAGATGACAGGACGCAACAATTGGAACAAGATCTGGTTCATCACTTCAGCCTGACCATTGGCTTCAGGATGACGACCAGAAGTCATATCCAGTCGAGAGTGTAGGTAGTCCTTACAGTAGGACTGCCACTCATCGCTGCAAAATCGGGGATCTCGATCGCTGGCAATAGAAGTGGGTGGTCCATGGTGCGTGACCCACCTCTCAGAGAAGGCTGCTCTCACAGCCGGGACCCTCGCTACCTCTGGTAAGGGGATGAACTCTGCGTATTTGGAAAACCTGTCAACGCAGACCATAACCTGACGCATGCCATGAGGGGTGGTCTTGCCTAAGTCTGTGAAATCAATGGATACAGACCGTGCAGGACCAAAAGGTATGGGCAAGGGTTTGAGCAGTCCCAGAGGAGGTTTCCGCTGAACCTTGTTCCTCTGACATAACTCATAGGTTTCCACATAGCGCAGCATAACACTCTGCATCTCCTTCCAGAAGAAGCGCTGCGACAGGGCTGCATACGACTTTAAGAACCCAAAGTGTCCACGTGCATCGTGGCACTCTGACATCAGCAGTGTCCTCAACTGCTGATCTTCAGGAATACATAAGCGCTCCTCTCCTCTACTGTAGGTGTACAGCAGATCTGAACTCATAGCATAGCCAGGTTCAGAATTGAGATCTGCTTGCAAATTCCTGACGATGGGTCCATAAGTCGGATCCTGAGGCAGTAAGCGAGTAATGGTCTGACAGACCTCCTCTCCAAAGGAGTGAGTAGAGGAGATCAGCGCAAAAGAATCACGCCTACGAGAGAGGGTGTCAACTACCTTATTGTAGCAGCCCTTCTTGTGTTTCAGTTCAAAGTCAAACAGGTCGATGAACTGAATGTAGCGTGCCAACTTGTCGTTCAACTCTCCCTGGGACTTCAACCACTGCAAAGTGGAATGATCAGAGAAGATCTTGAAGTGCCTGCCCAGGAGAAAGTGCTTCCAATGTTTCATGGCACTGACAAGAGCATATAGCTCTTTCTCGTAGGTAGAGTCCTGAAGCTTCTGAGTCTTGATCTTCTTACTCATAAACTCGAAAGGTCTCAGACCATTCCCATCATCCTGCCAAAGTACTGCCCTAATGCCATACTGACTGGCGTCAGTGGTCAGGATAAATGACAGGCTTGGGTCAGGTAGCTTCAGAATAGGGGCATGAGTCAAGGCCTGTTTGAGTCATGCAAAGGCCATCTGGCAGTGAAGAGACCAAAGAAAGGGAGTGTCTTTCTTGGTGAGGTTAGTCAGGGGTGCAGCCACTGCAGAAAAGTTCTTGACGAACTTTCTGTAGTATGAGGCCAGACCCAAGAAAGACCGGACATCTCTCACTGTCTGGGGCTGTTGCCAGTCCTGAATAGCAACAATTTTGGCTGCTTTAGGGGCCAGACCGTCTCCAGAGATTACATGACCCAGGTAGATCATAGAGGGAACTCCAAAAGAGGACTTCTCTTTGTTGATCTTATACTGGCTGTCACGTAATGACTGAAGAACCAGAGCCAGATGCTCCACATGTTCCCTGGTAGTTTTGCTGAATACAAGGATATCATCCAGGTAGACAACCATAAATTTATCCAGGTAAGGCCTGAAGATGCGGTGCATCTCTGTCTGGAACGTTGCAGGTGCATTGCAAAGTCCAAATGGCATAACCAGATACTCATAAGTACCATATCTGGTTTTGAAGGCTGTCTTGTGGACATCCTCCTCTGCCATCTCAATCTGGTGATAACCATACTTGAGGTCGACTTTGCTGAAAATGGTGCATCCCTGGACCATGTCCAGAAGGTCATCGATCCTAGGAAGTGGCTCTGTACTCTTCCTAGTGATCTTGTTGAGACCCCTGTAGTCGATGCACATTCTGAACTCGCCACTCCCCTTTGGAACAAAGAGGACTGGAGCGCCGAATTCAGAAGTGCTGGGCCTGATCCAGCCTTTGCTGGTCAAGGTCTCAAGCTGTCGTCTGAGCTCCTCAAGCTCACCAGGGGACATCCTGTAGATGCGGCCCTTGGGAGGGACCGCTCCAGGCAGCAGCTCAATGTGATGCTTGGTTGGCCGGTTGGGTAACCCAAAGGGCTCCTGCATCAGATCAGCATATTGATCAACCACCTGCTGTATTTGAGGAGGACAGGAAACAGTGGGAGCGTCTGTTTGCTTGACCAGAGCTATGAATAGACGCTCGTGGTCATACTGGCGTGAGAGAGCATAAAACTCTCTCGCTCTCAGGCAAAAGCATGAGGTCTTAGGGTGGGTCATGCATGGCTGATACACCCCCTTGCTGTTCGGCAGCTCAACCTTGGGGATCTGCCAGTCGATCCTTGGGTTGACTGCTTTCAGCCACTTCATGGAGAAAACCAGGTCAAAGGGTAGATCAGGGAATATGTAGAAGTTCAGACTATGTCTAACTTCTCCAGCACTGTCGAAGGTCACAGGGATACCCCTGACCTTCTCCCTGATAGTCAGTACAGTGGAGTCACCTATCCTGACCTGCAGCGTTTGCTGCAGTTGCACCACTTTCATGCCCAGATGCAATTTTTTGACTGCACTGGGAGACATGAAATTTCGGGTGGCTCCACAGTCCAACAGCGGAGCAGGATGAGATCAGACTTGCTCTTCTTTTGTTCTTTCAGATGAAAGAAAAAAACAGCAAGTGACTGACACTCAGACTGGTCCGGTTTCTGGTCCGGGTCAGGATCCTCATAACTGAAGGATGCTGCCCGCGTAGTCCCCACGCTGGGAAGGACAGATGTCTCAACTGAAGTTGCTGCAGATGCAGATGCAGGTGCAACACTGGAGGGAACTGCAGTCTCCAGGGTCAGCTTCAGTTTTTTGACTGATCTGGACTGGGCATGTAATGATAGTCCTTCAGAAAATGTTGTCCCTCACACCTCAAACAGACTCCCCTCTCCTTCCTTTTCCTCCACACCCCTTCCTGAATTTTCAGATCATGCCAGGGAAGGGTGTTGGGATTCAGGGGGTCTGTTGGAAATCGGACGTCACGTGGCAAGTTAGGGAGCCGGGCAGGGGTTGAAGAGCGACGTCCCTGACTCTTCCCCTTGCTGCTGGAGGCTGTGCTGGAGGGAGATCTGGCCTTCTGGAAGGCCCCCAGCGCAGCCTGCAGCTGCAGAATGACTGCTGCAACATCTGGGACAGCAGCTGAACCAGTCCCATCTGGCGGTGTACCAGGCTGGGATCCGGTGTTAGAGGCTGACCCAGAGCCCGCATAAGCAAAGGCCGCCTTTCCCTTTCTACCACCGCGAGGGAAGGCGCCTTTTCTCCTGTCACTGGAGGGGGCCTGAACATGGAACTTAGCCTCCATGTCTAGTGCTGCACATCCAAAGGACCTCCAATCCTTATGCCCTGTGCTGTAAAGAGCAACACAAAACTTCTTAGGCGCAGCCCTGCAAAAGTTAGTCAGCAAATCATCAACAGACATAACCAAACCGAGGGTGGAGGTTAGCTGTTCAAATTCAGCAAAAAGGGCTTGCAGACTGCCACTGTAGCGCTGCTGTCCAAGGCGTACGATCTTGTCATCAGCCTTACGTGCACGCTCCTTGTCTGCAAACCTGTCCTCCAGGGCCTGCAAAAGTTCATCCACTCCCAGGGCTAGAGCCCAGTCCTCCAAAGTCTGCTGCTGGGCGCTGACTGTAAATGTGGCCCATTTCTAGGCTGGGCCCTCCAGCAGCCCCACAACGGTAGCCACCTTTTGCTGTTCTGGGCACACGAAACCCTTCAGGTAGGCCCGGGTTCCTACTGCTCAGTCCCCAACATCAGTTTTGGGGTCATCGCCCCTAAACTTGTTGGGTGCAGGGATCTTGGGTCCTCGCTGATCCCCAGCAACAACAACAGCAAAGGTGGGAGGAGGCTTGACTTTAGCCTGGGAGGAGGTAGAGCGAGATGACTTGAGGGAACTAGGAGGAGAGGAAGGAGGTGAAGAATGAGGTGAAGATTGTTTAGGCTTGATAGAGGCAGGGGGTGGTACCACAGGTGCAATCAGGCGGGCTGCTGTCAACTGAGCAGTCAGATTCTGGATAGCGTCCAGGATCTTGGACTGCCGAGTCGCCAGGTCGCCTACCCTGGTCTCCAGATGCTGAATCCGGTCATCCCAGTTAGTAAAGTGGCTGGCTGTGATTTTGTTCTGCAAGATCACCAGCTCAACCAGGTACCTGGTGCACTGGGCCACCCTCTCATCTGTAGCAGTCTTCTCGGCTTGCTGCAGCAGAAACTCCTTGCGGGAGGCATCTGTTGCAGCCTCCAACTCAGCCGCCTCCTGTCTCTCAGCTTCTGCGAGGAGCGCCTGTTGCTCTCGCAGCTTGGCCTCAATTTCCCTCTTGCGCCGTTGAGCCGGGGTGAGAGGAGGAGGGGCAGGAGTAGAGGGGGAAGGTTTCTCTTCCTCCTTGACTACTACCTCTACCTTTCCCTCACCTGAGTCAGCCGCGTTAGAAATCTTCCCTTTCAAACCCAATAAACAACAAAGTTAGACAGCAAGAGGTGCAGCGATATTCAATCCTCTCAGACACTCAGAAATCGTTGCACTATCAATTCAGAGGGTAAGGTGGGTTAGTAGGCACAAGCGGTTAGGGTTGGGATACAGTCACTGGGGTCAGTACTCAGACAGACTGAAGGTCCAGTAAAACCATTCACTAACGATTTCCTATACCTGACACTGAACCATCACTGAAGTTGCAACATACAATTTCAGTGCATTCCAGTGACCACTAAAATTCCAGAGCCCATAAAAAAACAAGGATAATTAGTGGTAGAGATAGATACAGGCAAGAACTGACTGAAACAAAGCAACAAGTAGTAGCGATGCAGTAGACTAGACCCTGACAGCCCTGAACTCAATTTTCGCCACTGTTGACATCAACAGAAATACCCACTGACACAACGATTTTCAGTATTTCTCTGTAATTACTCAAATACACTGATTCTGGACTAGCGCTTCAGCACAGATGACAGATACTAAATTGCGATTCACCCCAGACTGACATAATGGATTTATGACGGACAAAATTTGAGTTTTGACTGACCCTAGTTAGCCTGGACTAAAATAGACTCAGCGCAAAACTAAAATTCACAGTATCACTACTTTCCTGGGCAGAAGTCACTGTCTGATCATTCAGGATGCAGCGCAATACTGTCATACAGTCCCATAACAAATTTGAGTCAGAAAGAGTCAGCAGATGGTGAGATATGGGTCAGGGTAGGGAGGAAGAAGATGGCTATGGCTGTCTTGCAGTCTGACAATTTCAAAATTGAGACCCTACTGACAGACAGACCATCAATTCAGACTCTACTGGTCCTAAACTAATCGCACTTTGACCTGGTTTTCTCCATGAAGTGGCTGAAAGCAGTCAACCCAAGGATGTTTCACTCAGTTCTCTACCCGTTTTCCATCTTCCATCCAATTCTGACCATAGATGTTTCACTTGCCATACTCCATGTTCCAACCAGTTTCCCCATTTGGCATCCTTCGCTGTGAGTGTCCTTGGTTTCCCTTGGGGGTCCTTCAACCATGGATTACAAAATAACGGTTGCCTAAGTACTTCCTCCTTCGTCCTTGGTTGTCTTACTCTTGCCGGGAATATATATCTGTCCATATCTTAAGTATTTGAGCCCAATATGAATTCCTGGTCGATTCATCTTCCCCTCCCTGTATTCCTTCTCTTCTCCTTTTGGCCCAACCTTTACAAAAAAAACAGAACGTTCCTTCCATATTAGGAGGAGTTTTATACTTAGCCATCCCTCGTATATGGTCCAAAACCAATGGAACCCAGCGGAGATGGGGTTGTGTGAGTAATTTGATAACCAATTTAGTTTGGAGTGCTTTGATCTGCTGACCCGGATCGAGGATTCCCAACCCCCCCTGATCCTTTGTCTGAATGACCTGTCTCCATGCTACCTTTGAAATATAATTTATCTTAGTGGGGTTCGCTGTCCAGAGGTATGCTGCTGCCTCTGTCCTGAGCTTGTTTAGAGAGTGTAATGGAGGTGTCCATATTGCATGGAGAAGATAGAAGCGTTTAATATTAGCGCCCTCCCAAAAAGTGACGTGTAAATTTCAGACCATACTGACATTTTAGCTAACATTTTGGTCATCTGCTGCTGTGCCATCGAGTAGTGAGGACCTGTATCTGCTAGTGTGATCCCCAAATACCTCAGTGGTTGATCTGATGACGCCCATGTCATTCCCCCAAAATTCG